AGCCGTGAACGATGCAAAGTCTGCAAAACAGCAATTGGAAGAGAACAAGAGACACAACAAAACGATGGAGACCATTACTCTGGGAAAAGGCCTGTATCTCAAACCTTATAAAAAAGGCTATGGACTTTATCTCAAACCTTATCTGGGATCAGGTTTAAAAAAAAAAAAAAGTTCGAAATAAATTTACCGGATAGAGCCCTCACAAATGCCGACTTGATGAAGTATGCAAAAGTTTTGAATATACCAAATTTTCGCGGAGTCTTCATGAGAAATGACTTACCGAGTTCTGGACCATATTATCACGAATCAGCTATAGTCAATCTTGACGGCGTCGAAGGAACAGGAACGCACTGGGTGGCTTATCGCAAAATCGGAAAAAACGTCACATATTTCGATAGCTTTGGAGATCTTAGACCACCTATTGATTTAATGATGTATCTTGGCGATATCGAGATCAAATATAATACGAAAAGATATCAAGATTTCAATTCTCACGTATGCGGTCATCTTTGCTTACAGTTTTTGTGCGAGGGTATAAAAGTAAAGGCAACGTGAAAATATCGCTAGTCATGTTCACACAGTCATGGAGGATTCGTTAACTCTGACGCTCTCGGGTAATTCTTCACTGTTGGAAGCGCACGATTTCCCACCAATCGAACTATCACAGCATAAACATTACAAGTTGGGCTTAGTCGAGTTTCTAACGTTCAACTCGATACCTAATATCGACGTACATAATAATAAATTTTACGTCGCAAATCAAAATAATCGACATACCTGTCGGGACCTACGAGATCGACGACATTGATAAATTTCTTCGCAAAGCTCTGCAGCCTCTCCGTACTGATAATAATAATAATATAATATTTAGTTTGAAACCAAACAACAACACCTTGCATTGTACAATCAAGTGTTCCGAACCTATCGATTTTCGTCCGCAGAATTCTATCGGACGATTGTTGGGTTTTTCACAACGTACATTAGAGGCAAACGTTTCTCACAACTCTGATCTTCCCGTCAGTATTCTCAGAGTCGAGTGTAATATAACCGCTGGAGCTTACTTGAACGGAAACACCGTTCACGATATTCACGAATTTTGTCCAGCAGTACCGCCTGGATATAAAATTATTGAAATTCCCTCTCGCGTGATTTATCTTCCAGTTATGAAAAAGTCTATAGATTATTTACAATTACGCATCGTCGATCAAGACGGAAATTTAATTAATTTTCGCGGTGAAGTCATAACCATCAGATTACACCTCAAAAGCGTATAATGGGAATTGTTTACGATTCAAAGAGTGGTAGGGACTATATAAGCATTGAAAAATGCAAACCCATCATCAGTCGTCGACTGAAATTGAAAACGTCAACACGACGAACTCCAGTCATCAATCGTCATCGGAAAGCGAAAGCTTTAACACGTCAAAGCATAAAGTTCCTAAAAAGTCTTGGGTTAAGAGTAGTTCCAGGTGGAAAATAAATTGCCTAATTTTTTCTTTTTGCTGCTTCTGCTTTCAACGAAACAATGGAGAACATTCTCGAAATACAGTCACCTGTCGTCTTCGATGAATCTTTGGCTCATTACGAGATCCACGCTCATCAACCTTACACCAATTCATCGTTCAAAAATAGTGACGAGATTCGTATATCAATTCAACATCAAGACTTGTGTCTTTTACCATCTCGCAGCTCGTTACACATTTGTGGACGATTACGCAGCAACAATAACACTTTGTTAACGAATACTGATTTTGTTAATAATGCCATTTGTCACATGTTTGAAGAAATTAGGTATGAGCTGAATGCTATAGAAATAGATAAATGTAAGAACGTTGGTCTCACAACCATTATGAAGAACTGGTTATCTCTCACTCCAAGTCAAACCTTGATTGCCGAAAATGCCGGATGGATAAATACCTTAGAACAAGAGGACCGTAAAATAACTAATGCGAATGGCGACTTTGACATTTTGATTCCTCTGAGCTTCATACTTGGATTCGCTGAGGACTATCGCAAAGTGCTAGTGAATATGAAACATGAATTAATTCTCGTAAGATCGAGTACTGATTTAAATGCAGTTTATCAAACGAAGAAGACCGTGGCTAACGTTGAAGCTTACGAAGAATTCAATATTAATGTAACACGACTCGAATGGCTTATGCCCTATGTGACTGCATCGAATGCAAAGAAAATACGTCTACTCGACTTTCTAAAAAGCGAACGAAGTATTTCAATGAGTTTTCGTAGTTGGGAACTGTACGAATATCCAGCGCTGCCTGCAAACACAAATCACGTCTGGACAGTTAAAACGACAAATCAGTTGGAGAAACCACGCTACGTCATCTTAGCCTTCCAAATCAATCGAAAAAATGAACCAAACTCTAACGCTAGTATATTTGATCATTGTAACATCAGAAATGTAAAACTGTACCTCAACTCTCAGTGCTATCCATACGGTAATCTCAACATTGATTTCAGTAAAAACCAGTACGCAATGTTGTACGATATGTATGCCAATTTTCAAAACGTATACTACGGTAAGGATGCCGAACCGATGCTCAAAAAACTGGAATATAAAAATTACATGCCACTCGTAGTGATTGACTGTTCGAAACAAAACGAATCATTAAAGACTGCTCCAGTAGATGTGCGCTTGGAGTTCGAAACCAGAGAAAATATTCCCGAAGGAACTACAGCGTATTGTCTTATTCTACACGATCGCATCGTTCAGTATAATCCGATAAATGGAGATGTGAAGAAACTTATTTAGGAGGGGGGGGGGGTATTAAAGAATTGACTCTTTCCTTAAGCAGCTCAGTAGTAGCTTTCTATCGCAATGGAGTACGTAGTGGATATGCAAGGCTTCATGATGCCTGGCAAAACTTATGCTGTGAAAGAGTTAGCGATACTCCCACTTAACTACAACGAAGAACCGCTCGTACGCTTGTTCAAACCTCCCTTTCCATGGCGAAGGCTAACGGAGAAATATAAGCGAGAAAATCTCTGGTTAGAACTCTACTATCATGGATTAACATGGAACTCTGGCGATTATAAATACGAAGAGCATAAATTCATCATCACAGATACACTCAAAGATGCCACAAAAATTTTCGTTTCCGGAGATTTGAAAAAAGAGTGGTTAGAACGATATGGCCTCAAAGTTTTCGATTTGAATGATTGGGGCTATTCGCCTTTCGAAAAATTAAAATTAGTTACCGTGTGCCCTAATCATAACGGCAAATACGTAACGACATGTGCACATCAAAACGTTAAAATAATGAAAAAGTTTTATATCGATGGCTGTTGTATGGATTGGGAAGAGAGCGATGAAGTTGTTGAAGGATTTCTATAGTGATTTTGTTTTTTAAGTAAATACTTTGTAGAATAATATGTATTTTTTTAAGAACATGTAGAATAAGATATATTTTTTATCAATAAAAAAATTTTTGTTTCAATAGATACAAAAAAAATATTCTTTTATTTTTTATTAAACCATCCAAAAAAAAAAAAAAAAGCGAAATTCTTCGCTGACTCTGACGATGACACCAGCAGTAGCAGCAGTTCATCTTTTTATAATAAATTTTGTATTTTTTTTATCAACAAAAAAAATTTATACAACATAGAATTTAGACAAAAAAATGTTTATTTATTAGTTGAGGTGGTGTACAATGATGACATGTATAAATATGATTATTTCTTCTTTTCGTTATTGAACTGCTGATAGCCTTTTTGTTCAGGAAAATTTTTAGTATTGCTCGAAAATTTCGAAATACTTTGTTTCCATGTCGATGATTCTTTGTTCTTCTTTTCGTCCGGGTCTTCCTGTGGAAGACGAGAGTACTTTACTTTAGAGTAGCGATCCATTTTATGTGAATGCTGGTTGATGAAAGATTCGATAATTCTTACGCTGTGCTATTTATAGTAGCTTACAACCACGAAGTCTACAAATAAAAGAAAGAAAGCAGGTACTTGCACGTTTTTTCTATTAAACCATCTTCGGTAGATAAGACACGCATGCACGCACACACACACACACACACACACACACACACACGCGCGCGCGCGCGCCCGCGCGCACACATCGAACATAAAAAAAATTATTATTCGTTATATACCAATTATAATAAATATTTATGTATGTATTAGCGCTTGGGCCCTCCCCAGCAGCAGCAGCCGCCGGCGCCCCCCCCCCCATATCAATCGCGTGTGTAGCCAGTATACACAATACGGTATTGCCCGTGGTAACAGTGGCTGTAGCTCTAGCGGTAGAGCATCGGCCTGCGGATCCGGAGGACGCGCGTTCGATCCCCCGATCCGTCCGTTTTTTTTCAGATAAATCTAAAAATTTTTAACACACGCGCGCACACACACACACACACACACAAAATAAGAAAATCAAAACGCGAAACACAGAACGCGCGCGCGCGCGCGCAGTGCATAGGAAATCAAATCAGTGGGAGAGGGGGAAGAACGCACGCCACATCAGATCAACTCAGTAGGGGAGGGGGGGAGTGCGTAGAACGCATCGGTATAACTCAGTAGAAGGGGGGGGGGTGAGTCGACAGCGCACGGGCCGATCGGGAGGGGGGGAGGTGAGGTGAACATGCACACACCTCAACTCACACGCTTCAACTCAGTGAGCTAGTACCCCTCTGAGTTGATGCCCCTCTAGTTTACCTACTACCGTGCTACCAACGTCTGGAGATGGGGGATATAACGAGTTTGTCAAAAACTCGTTTTGTCTCTCTCTCCACATTAATTATATAACAATAATATATGTTCATACTCATGTATCTACTTTTATATTATATTACTAGCAGCCGCAGTGGACGACAGCAGCTGAACTAAGGTAAGAGAGATAGCGCTAGCAGAGAGAGAGACCGCGTAGGTTGGTAGGACTGGCGAGCCGGTGTGCCGCGAAAGAGAGGTGCTGCTTGAGAAAAGAGGCAATTAGCTGACGCCTCTCGAATTGGTGACACGCGTGCGACTGCGTTAGAAATTCATGGCTTGGCTGTGCCATTGACGACTAGATTCGTTTTGTGATTCTGCGTCTCCTCGTGGCTAATTTGAGCGATAGATCGAGTGCTAAATTGAGTGCTACCGGTTGCGGCGTGTATCGACGTTCGATAGACCGAACTTTGATTGTCGAGCCTCGTGGCTAATCTCGCCGACAGCGGCAGCTGATGTAAGTACCACTCGTTCTTTGCGTCTCTCTCGCATTATCTGCTTTGCTTCTCTCTCTGTACCGCCCTGTACAAATACACGTAGAATATATATTTCTATTACACCTATCGCCTTTTTCTCTCTGCACCTTCTATCATTCCTTTCGTTTCCTACACCTTCGCGATTTCAGCTACGCGACCTACGACGCTCTCCGCGGGCCGTTGCCACCCTGCGAATCCATCGGCAGTCTGTGCTACTGGGCCGGTCGTGCAAATCCGTTGCACGAGCTCGCTCCGTCATCTATTACGCACCTCTCGGTCATTAAATATTGTACCGGACTAAATCCCCGTTACAGAAGTTCAATGCAGCCCTTTCTACCAGGTAGTTCCGCATTTCATCGCTTAAGGACCCTTTGTTTTCCTTCTCATAAAATGGTGGAGGAATGGCATACTGTAAAATAATTATTTTATTTTTAATTATTATCTATTATTATTATTGTTTTTGTTGTTGTTATTATTATTATTATTTATCATATATACCGTTTTAAGGTTGTTTGCATTGTAGATCGGCGATGGATCGATTCTGGGCTGCCGTTTTCCTTTGCGCAGAGCAGGAGCCATTTGGGTAATGGACTTACCAGCGTTCTCCGACTGACCTACATTCTGAAAAATAAAACAAAACAATTAAGAATTATACAAAAAAAAACAAAAATTCAAACTACAGAAATTACCGTAAGCTGTATTTCATTCTCAGCTGCTTGAGAAGCATTTTCAGACGCTTCATTTTCGTCCTGAAAAAAAAAAAAAGTATTGTAACGGGGTAGATACCGTTTAATTATTTTTATTCGCGCGGATTCATTAGAGGGCGAATGTAATCATCTATGCTCCAAACGCAATCCGGAGAGCATGGGGAGACAGGTGTCAGTCAACCAGTAAATCTATTAACCTATGAGAAAGTGAGTGGAAGCAATACGGAATGAGCGAGTCGAAAGCACTTGTTAATGTCACGAATAGAACCTTTTATTATCTATCAAATGCTACATAAGGTCGGCCTGCGTGTTTGTTTACATCGACGCTCGCTCGACGACAACATGCAGTGTCGTGATGCTCGCTGCTCTTTGTTGGAAGAGCTATTACATGCATGCTTGAGATATCGGAAAATTAATCGTCGCTCATGCAATCGCATGGCGGCCGCGAGATTAAGCTGGCCAGCTTACCTTAATAACGTAGGCGTGCGAAGATGACACTAAAACAGTCACACTGCGAGAGAACCGTTTTGTGTTTATGTCGCAGACCACGAACTCGCGTACACGCGGTTTCGCTCTCGATGGCGAAACCTCACACACACTCAGCCGGTCTCGTGAAAGGCGACGCTTCTCCGTCGGCTCAGGTCTCTCTCCTTGGCAGTTGTCCGACACCTTGGTAGCAGCAATCACTATCGGCGTTGATCTCTGCGTTCCTCTTTGATCGTCAAGACGTTAGCGGCACAAGGATCGGTATTAGCGAGGAAAAGCGGACGATCGTGATGGCGGTCAATGCTTCACTAGTTCAATTTCAATCGCGCGCGTTTCGTCTGCTCGCGCACCAAATTCCTTCGTTACGTTTTTCGTCTCCCCGGTAGGTGCTGCCCCCGCAGGCAGCAATTAGGTTATATTATCAGCGCTAATTTGACGTTTACCGTCACAGTATATAAAATTAATAAAAAGAACAAAAGAAAAACAACTCAACAAAACTTACCAAGAGTGATGGCATATGTAATGAAATCTGATTCTGAAATGTAACGTAAAAAAAAACGTAAAATAAAACAGAAGAAAAAGAATACATCTTAAAAAAAAAAAATTACATTTTCGGTGGTGTTATCGAGGTCTGAGATGCTGCTTGAGCCTTCTTGCGCTTTTAATTGGACTCCTGTCGACTGTTCACTAAAAAACTAAAAAAAAAATCATTGAAAAATTAAAAAAAGGGAAACCTCAAAAATGGTAAACTTCAATTGATGATATCTTGATGAAAAAAAATGATATCTTAAATTTGAAAAATGGGTTTAGAAGGGTAAGAGAGCTTCTTTAAGATGCCGTCAACCGTTTTTGAAAAGAATATAAACTCACGATGTAATCAAGCCTTGAATATGGCCAAAAAACGTGTTTTTATGACCTTTAGGGGACGATTACTCAAAAACCTGACGTGATGGAGAAATTCTGATGACGGATTCGAATTCTACGCCAAAAATTACTTCGGAAATGACCCTCAGTTGCAAAAGAACAAAACCTTGCAGGCCTGTGTTATTAGTCTTTACAACAAACCGCACTAATTCTTTTATAAATTTAATTTTAATTTCTTTTATCTATTTTGGTTACTGTGGACCTATAGAAGACTTGAGTGGTTTAGCTTTGAAAGCGCAAACTTCGTTTTCACAAAAAGTTGATCAGTAACAAATCTCTCATGGAATGAAGTATTTAAATTCAAGGGATGCTACATAAATTCTACAGCGGATCTCTTCAATTAACAAGTTTTGCAAAACCAAAGACGTTACAGTAACTGAACTCGGTTTTGACACTCCAAATTGTTCCGTTTTTCTTTTGTAAGCCAGCTCGATTTAAAATAAATTACTTTAATGTATTTATTATTTGTGTGAATACTATGTTCTCATGACTGAAAGTTTGCAACTTAGAATATAATTGTCTATGACTGGAATCGTACTCTCTCTTGTTGATACGTGATTCTCCGTTACACAATATGCAACCGGCCGTGAAAGAATTTCTTTGAAGAAAAATTTTACAAATACCCTTTTTTGCGTATTTTTTGTCTCCTACTATATTACATTAAATTTTTCCTCCTCTCGAGCCGCATAAGATTTTGCAACAAAGTTGACGAGATATTAACGGAAGAATATCGGTCGAACCGTGATTCTCCGTTATAAAATAGATAGGTCTCAAATTTGTCAAAAAAGCAGTTTTGTTCTAAGTTGAATCTCTCTCTATAGGCCTTACATTATAGTGGTAAGTTCATGCGCTGATTTGTTCGGTCTGTCTTAGGGCCCTAGTATCTTGAAAATTTTTATGAAAAAATTTACTAAATTATAATATTCACCCTAAGCTTTCATTCTCATCGACAATTAATAAAGATGGAAAAAAATAAGTTGATATTGTGATTATCGAATTTTTTCTAGGGCTATTTAACGAGATAATTGATTTTGAATTTTTCCTCCTTATTTGGACGATTTCATTTATTGTTAGTACAAAAGAAAATAATGTAATACTTTTCTGTAATACATTATTTTATTACTATAAATTATTTACAGTTAATATAGTGATAAAATAAAAGAGACGATTTAAGTATCAAAATAAAAGTTTTATTTATTTTTTTTTTTTTTATGGAAAATGCGATTTTCAACGCATTGATAAGGTCAAGGCTGATAAGGTCAAGGCTCGTAAGGTCAGGCTCGTAATCTCTCTCTCTCTCTTTGTCTCTCTCTCTCTTTTTCTCTCTTTCTCTCTTTGTCTTTGTCTCTCTCTCTCTCTCTCTGTTTGTTTCTCTCTCTCTCCTCTCTCTCTTCAGCAGTATGGCATAGCGAGTAGTTGTAAGAGTCAGGTAGGTAGCAAGGCGTGAACACACCCGCTACCTGCCGTAATTACGGTAGGTTGGCATCATTAATTTGTTAAGGTAGCGTACTGTCAAGACGATCCCTCGCCGGGCGATTTCCTCTTTTAGTATAAGTAGGCTAAGTCGGTTTATCGTCAAGGCGGTCACCTGCCGGGCGGCATGTTTATATGTCGGTTAGATTTGTTGTAAGCACGGTAAATCAGTTAATGTGTTCTTTTATTGTAGTAGGTGTAAAGAACACCGTTGTGTTCTGTAGAGTTAAGACGTGTTTGTAACACCGTTGTGTTCATTAGAGGTTAAGGGTTTGTAAAGCTGGTTATGATCATAATTATACGGTTTGTTCATTTATGGTATTTGAAGTGTGATTTTGATTTGAAGTGTTATGTTTGATTAATTTCATTTCTTTACTTTTCCTCTTTTCGATTACTATGAGCGAGTGCGCCTCACTTGCCCACCCCTTTAAAATTGATAACGAGCGGAGCTTTCGTTACATGTTCATATGTCCTGATAATATTGATTTGATAGTGTTTGCATTTGAAATAATAAAAATGTATGTATTTTTTTATAGACAGTAAGATTTATTGACAGTGTATGGAAGACAATTTGTTTACAGAAAAAAATGTTATGTTTACAAATATTATAATAATATTTCGACATAGATCGCGATGCGATTACGATGACATGACGACAGTTATGATGATGATGATGACGATGATGATGACGACGATTCGATAATTCGCCTTCTTATTCGTTTTTTTTTTTGCTGATGATTGCAAAAAAGATTCCTCCTCGTCTTCATTGTTTTCGTCTTGTTCTATGGTTTGTGGTGGACGTCTTTTTTTTGACGATTGTCGTTTCTTGAAGTATTCTACATTGAACTTGCGCTTTTCGACGTTGACGACGATGTTGTATCCATCATCGTTAGTCGTCATCTTTGTTGTTTTCGTTGCAGTTTCTGTTGAGTTTTGCAGTTTTTTCATCCACGTCTGAGAAAAAAAACAAAGTTTTTATAACGATAATAATAATAATAATAATATTCAGTTTGTTCATTAATAAATTCGTTTAGTACTCACTTTCCGTTGATTCTGTTTAAGGTTCTGCTGACTAACGAACGTGGAATCTAGCACTTTAGTCATCATTTGTTTTTCATGAGTCGTGTAAGTATTCCTGATCATGTACCACTTGTACGTGTTGCTACGATTATTTTGATTCAACAATGCAAGCGGAAATACGCAAGTATCCGCTTTGAAGAATTTTGTTAGTACATCTTTCCATTGTCTGATTGGCTCTGATATATGTACTGTACTTCTGATCAACTTACCTAAAAAGTTTAACAGTATACAAATAACCAATTTTATTTAGCAAAACTTAAATATAACGAAGTGGTTTTCCTTACCTATAAGTGTGGTGGGATTCAATATTTTCCTAACAAGAGTTGATACAGGAACGACCCCGCTAATGTACGCTTTGATCTCGCAACCTTGTTGTAATATTTTGGCATTTATAACTTTTTTTGAAAAAGCATGTTCGATAAACTTGAAACTATAATATGGAAAGCCATGTAAAAGTCGAGAAAAACCAATTAGCCTTGTTATCAAATAATGAATTTTCAAGTCCAAATTGTTGCTCATAGGCGTATGTAAATCTGATTCTTCTTCTGGGTAGTATTGTGACATTTCAGCAATGGCTTCTCTCAAGAACGGCCATCTGTAATATTCCAATTTCAATCCGATGACGGGTTGCCGTAAACGTTGTCGCTCCTTTAACGTAGGTATTTTATTTTTCTGCCAACTTCTAAATATGTACTTAGAATAGTATGCACCTTCTCGAACATTTTTTCCTCGCCAACCTTCTCGTGGATTTTCTAATAGCTAAGTTAACCGTGCAGTAGGAATATTCTTCCAGTCACCCATCAAAAAAAAACGTAAACGCTGTTCACAGTCATAGCATTCTTCTATTAAAGATCTTGTGACTGAATTACCAGCTGTAGTCTTAACCATTATGAAGATTTTCTCAAGGAAATCAAAGTCCTTTTTCGTTCGCTGGAGCATGTAACGAGTCCAGTTGCTGGCTAAATATAAGGCACCGTGGTCTAAAAACTTTTTTGTACCGCAAGTTAAAAAGGAACTTTGTTCCAAAGAATTTTGTGCGTCAACGAGACACGTGGATCCGATGAAAGTTTTAACTTGTTCGATCCTTAACGAAGCTGACGATGTCAGGACCTCTATACCACACTTATAATCTGAAATTAATCCTTCTACATCCGACATAAGTCGTTTTACGGACTTGTTTTGTTGTTTCGGCACCATTGGAAAATAACTGCAATTCAATAGTTTTTGAATGACTTATTTATATACTAATTTATTTATTTATTTTGCCATACCTGTAGCCTCCAGCAGCGACGTAGCCTGTTACGCTACCCCATCTTTTCGGGCGACGACAAATATAAGCGTGTATCTCAGGCAAGTACGCTTGAACGTAGGTCACGTTTTCCCACAATGGCTCCGAAGATTTGCTGTTAAGGTATAGAAAGTATATGAAATATTATAATTCTGTGGTTTAAGAGTAAAAAATGACGTGTAATAGTTTTATATCTATTACACGTCATTTGTTATATATTATATTATAAATATATTATATTATCTTCTGTACCTGTTTGTTGTCACATAACCGTACCCATGTAAGAAAAATTTGTTGTAACGATTAACGTTTTTAAAGATTGATTTATGCAAATTCGAATGATTCACAACAATAGCAACATCGTCTTCTGGTTCTAGAGTGTTTGCCTCATGTACTTGAACGAGATCTGCACTTTTCGACGTCAGGTCTACTTTCACGTTTTCTGTCATGAAACGAATGAAATTTGGCATACTCCCTATATCTGATAACTATGGCATGATCGTACCTCATAACATAATCGCCGCTGATACCAAATTTCTTTTCCATTTTTTTTACATTTTTTGGGTCACGCAACAGCGTACTTATACCATTACAAAAGTGCTGCCAATCTTCCGGATATATAGTTGGAGTTTTACATTTGTCGTACAGAATAAAATTCTTTAAATTGCCATAATGTAATGTTCGACATTTAGCAGGCAAGTAATGGCACGCTTTCCTAACAATTGCGTTCATAAAATATTGGTAAATTAGACGAACCATTTTATCATCTTTATCATCTTCATCATCATCCTCATCCTCATCGTTATACTTCTCCTCTTCCACTTCCTTGTCTCTCTCCTCGCTATCATCCACCTTCTCCTCCTTCTCCTCCTCCTCCTCCTCCTCCTCCTCCTCCTCCTCCTCCTCCTCCTCCTCCTCATCATCATCATCATCATCATCATCATCATCATCACTAGTATCACCTTCACCATTAGCGTCTTTTTTTTTGCTATAAATTTTTTGTCAACAGATATCAATATATTTATAGATTCAGTACATCTTCCACCTAATTTGAACTCGAGCCAAATTTTTTCTTTTTTAGGATCGAGAATTATTAACGATTTATTCTGATTAGAAACCCGTGGAGATGTTTGTCCAGTATTAAGAGAAAATGATCTCGTAATATTAAACAAGCTGAGATCGTGACCGATAACTACAATAGAATCCAGATCTGCAGTACACCGTCTTATGCGTGTATTATTAATGATTTCTTTCAATTCGGAAAATTGCAAATTTTCCAAATCTGTGGGACAGGCATTGGTTTCCTGTCGGAAAAAAAGTGTTGAATAAATTCTAATGCGGAGAGTTTATTGAATCGTTGACGTAAGACAATGCTTAAATTACTTTTTTTATTTTCAAGGAAATTTCAAAGTTTGTACATAATCCAGAAAGTTTTGAGCATGTGATAAGCTATAATTCAAAAGATTGGACAAGTCGTGAGAGTTCATTTTTTGGATACTTCTACCGGCGCGTTTGCGGCAAGACATATAAGATTAAAACATAGGAAAGATTTTCGAATAAGCTCATGAATCTCTGCGATTGTAAATTTACTGCGTACCTAGAAAACATTTAGATACTCAAGTAGATTCAGCTTGTTTAACTCTCTTCGTACATTTGTGAGGGATGAGGATATGCGAATAAAAAATGTGATTGATCCATTTTACAAGAAGGATAAATTATTAACTACTCAACGTCATCCCACACAATAGAATGAATATTAATAAATGTTACAACTCACTATTGCTTTGAAGCTGTTGTTTCCAGGCTGGTCTTGCTGCTCGTCAAGACTGTTGTGGTAGCTATCGTTGTCATTGAGTTGCTGTACCATCTTGTTGTCATTGTTGCCGCTGTACTCATGTTTATTGCGAGCGTCAATGTAAACAAACGCGCGGGCCGACCTTCTGTAGATTATGAGGGATAATAAAAGATCTAATTCGTATTACTAACAAGTGCTTTTCGATTCACTCATACCTCATAGCTTCCACTCACTTTCTTTAGATAAGAGGACATACTGGTTGACTGACGCACGTTTCCACATGCTCCCCGATTTACGTACTGAGCATAATTAGCTACGCGCGTCCTTTTAGTGTAATTGCGCGAATATAATAATTAAACGGTTATACCCCGTTACAGTGTTTAGCGAATGACAAAACTTGCGTAATAGTGTATATCGCATATATAATTATGTATCTTTCTTTGTAATCATCATGTAATCGTAATCATCGTGTATTTGAAGGAAAATTTAATAAATTAATTTTTTAATTAAATTTTTGTTTTTTTTGATGAGAATTCCTTGTTAAAAATTGGTAGAAATAGATTTGGGTTATTGGGTTATGGGGGGACTTTACGAACGTATGCTTAAGTACACTGTCCGAATAAAGTAGAAGGGTAGGCCGATCGCTCGGCGCAGGTTGGTCCCAATCGCGGCCCGCGTCTCGCCGCGTATTTCGTTCAAAGATTTTTGCTTCTAAGAAGCCAGGGCGGGGAGTTACATAGGTAAAAGCAATTGTTTAGGTTGTGGGGGGACTTTACGAACGTATGCTTAAGTACACTGTCCGAATAAAGTAGAAGGGTAGGCCGATCGCACGGTGCAGTTTGGTCCAAATCGCGACCCGCGTCTCGCTGCGTATTTCGTTCAAAGATTTTTGCTTCTAAGAAGCCAGGGCGGGGAGTCTCATAGGTAGAAGCAATTGTTTAGATTATGGGGGGACTTTACGAACGTATGCTTAAGTACACTGTCCTAATTAAGGAGAAGGGTTGGCCGATCGCTAGGCGCTGTTTGGTCCAAATCGCGACCCGCGTCAGGCCGGGCTTCTAAGAAGAATGTTGCTGCCCCGTATGAATGATCCGTTCGTTTTGCCTTTCACAGGTGTCCGCGAGCTTGAAGCTCTTTGCTCCTGCTCGTTTTCTGTGCCCTTCGGGACCAAAGTCAGGGATGGGACCGACCGATTTAGACGTCGGAACGTGTCGGAACTGAATTTTTTGTTTGTGGCTTCTCAGAAGCCGAAAGATGCAGGAGGCCCAATCGTTTGGTCAATCATCTGGAAAGAAATTATTGATCAAAAATATAAAAGGCAGCAACAAGGTGTTTATCCTAGATATGAAAGTATTTGATTGTGATCATGAGGGCGCAATTCTCGATGACGCACACGACTGTACAGATCAAATAACCACTAACTATATACACATTACATGGATGAGAGGAACGTATGCGTAAGTACACTGAACTAATTGAGGAGAAGGGCAGGCCGATCGCTAGGCGCAGTTTGGTCCAAGTTATAGCTCAAAATTAATAAAATAAATTAACAAATTAATAATCAATTAATAAATTAATAAAATAAGCTAATAGTTTAATAAAATACTATTGTCGTGTATTAGTTGTCCTCGCCTTGGTCGTTAATCATCTTGAGCTTCTTTTCAAAAAGCTTGCCATGATCGGCGCAGTCAGCGAACTTTTCACCGTCTTTGCAGTAGAGGTGAATATGGCACATCTTGTGCAAGATGGTGCCAGTCACTTGCTGCAAAGAAGCACACTTCTTCACGTTCACTGTGATTTGTCGGAGCGTGAAATCAGTTATCCCAAAATTTTGTTCATTCAACTTTCATTTCAACGTCATCGTTGAAATAACGGTGAGGGAAATAGTCGTAGTATGCGCGCAAATCAATTTCGTCTAAACTGATTTCACCAGACGGCCTATAAAGAAAAAACATAAATTTATCAATAATTTGCCAATCATCTTTTATACACATAAAAATTAACTATTTACCTCTCGATGGGCTGAGGCTTTACATTCAGATCCCGTGAAGAAAGCCGTGAACTGCGACGAAGACGATTCTCCTCACCAGAAGCTAAAGATGATGACGCCATGATCTAGAATAAATCAAATATATATTATAAAGCTATAAAATTTTTATAATATATATAGTTATAAAAATTATTATAATATATATAGTTATAAAAAAATTATTATAATATATATAGTTATAAAAATTATTATAATAATTAACTACATTTCACGCATAAGTTAAAGCAATAAAGAAAATTTCTAATTTTTTTAGCAATTTTCAACAGGCTGTATTTCAGTGATTTCAAATTTTTTGGTTACAAATTTTTTGGAGCACCTGTAGCCATGCAATTCTTGGATAAATCACCAAAAAAAAAATGTTCCAAAATTTTTATCTTATTATTTTACTCTATGGCCTGCAACGATTGCCGAAAATCGTTTGGACTCGCGTGAGCTACTAAGCGTGGCTGAGCGTAACAGCCGCGATCGGTTTGAGTTAGAGAGAGAGAGAGAGGGCGCGTTAGGGGCAATGACCGGGAGGGGAGAGTTAGCTAGCCAGTATGACTGTGTCCTTCAGGCGACCTCGCAGCTCTTTGCGTCGGAAAAATAAAGAGTTCTCTCCCACTCGAGTGATACCGTGAGATAGAACAGATAATTAGCGAGTGACAAGGCGAGTGTGCACACTGCAGAACGTGTGCACCACTAGTGTAAAGGATAATTGTGAGTGGAGTGCCGAGTGCGCCCACTGCTCAACGTGCGCGGCCTCGGCAGCTACGAGAGCAACCTCAGCAGCTTCAACAGCAACGCGACAGCCCCAGCGGAGAAGCAGGCGCAGAGGCAGTTCATCGCCCAGCAGATAGTCGGATACGGTTGGCCACCGTATCCCCTTCGATTTATCGGTATGTGCACGGCACTTTTCCATTGTGTTAGCGTGCGATCCCGCGCAGCGTGCGTGGCGGGTTTATTGACAGCGTGCGTGCGAATAGTCCGTGACGATCGCGAGATTTACTCTCTCTCTCCCCGTTCGAATTATTATATCGAAACAGCGTGCGTCTCTCGGCAAATCCCTCCCTTATACAAATCAGAGTTAATTGAATAAAGTGGTTAGAGATCCCCGAGAACGATCTTATCATTGAGTCTTTCCTTTGTCCGAGATCGGTGTTATTGTTGACATCCGATTCGAATGCGCCGGTAATCTAGCACGGATCGTGCGAGCGTAGCAGAAGCGGTTCGTCGACCGAGGTGCTTGCGGTGTCCGACGGAGCGCTAGTAAGCTAGCGCGCCAGCGCCACTGTGCGGAGGGATCGCGCACCCAAGTCAGATCGTTGAGCGAACACGGCGCATGCGCACAGCGGATCAAGGTGAGTAAGTGTGCTGGAGGCACACAGTTAATAGCGCACCGTCTGGCTGTATTGAGGATTACGATTACCCGGGATTTGTGGCTAGGCGGCAGCCTGTTACAGGCCATATATAATGATAATGAATTTTATTTACTTCGATTTAAAATAATTCTTCGGTTATTTATTTAATTATTTTTAGTATATATTATAAGAATTTTTTGTTTAAATAATTTTTTATAAACTATTCCAAATGACAAAAAAAAATACGGGTATTTTTTTTTCGATTTGCCTATGAATCGCATAGTTAGTTTAACGCCATCTTTTCCAGTTATAGCCTAATGGGTTAAACTAAGCTAATAGCTTAATAAATTAATAAAATAAAATAATAAATTAATAATCAATCAATAAATTAATAAAATAAGCTAATAGTTTAATAAACTTCTATTGTCATGTATTATTTTATCTGTTTTAAGTAGCTGCTATTTTCTCAACAACAGCTGATGGGGAAATTCTTATTCGAATAAATTTACCACGACGTTCCGTTCGAGAAAATGTTTAAAAAATTTTCAACCCATTAACGACCAAAGAGGTCAGTTTTTGGACATATTTTTGACCGCAAAATTAATTTGTAAAACGAAACGATAAATTGATCCAGGGTACCATACCTTATTTTTTTGGGTGTGCTGAATCTACATCCGGGCTCAAAATTCAAAAATTTTGCTTACAGAATGACATATGGCCGATTTTTTATAAAGAAATAGGGAAATTTGAAAAAAAAAAATTTTTTGGAATTTAAAAAAATTAAAATTAAAAAAAATTTTTTTCGTTCGGGACAAAACTTTATATTGTGATCGAATGGTATGTCATTTTTTATGCGTAAGATCGAGTTACCTGCGATTTCGATTGATTTTACCCGAGGGAGGAGGCAAACTTACGTGACCGGCAGTGTTAATTTATAAAATTAATTGACTTAATTAATATTACATATTTCCACGGCCATTCAATAGGTTCGTGAGTTCAATGACGAAGGATGGCGGCAGACGTTGTGTATTTTCCGGACGGTTGTCATTAGTGGGGGAAAGGGAAGCGCGTTGCGCCGATATTGCGTAAAATGCGGTGTATTTTTCGCGAGCAATCTCGATCAATTACTACCTTCTTGATCCAAGTAAAACTACGCGGATCTTTTGCGAAGCGAGAGTGTCGGTGAATTTTGAGCGGTTGAGTTGTCTTGGAGTGGGAAAAATAACCGATTGGATTATTCCACTTCAAACTTAACAATTTATTTGTACTACTATTTACAAAGGTTGACTAGTTAAAGGCAATTGAATTTAATAATAAAAGAGTTGAAAATAACGGTTATAAAAATGGAGCGATGAGGCACAGCACGCACTCACCGAACTCCAAATTCAAAAGTGAGGGTCAAACGAAGCGACGTTCGACTGCGCGGAAATGGGAGGAGCAAAACACGGTCCTCGCACTCCCGCGAGAGTGCGCGTGATAATTAGCGCGCGAATTCAAATGTGTAAATAAAATATAGACTCTTGCCTGGCGGCATCGGTCTCAACACCGCCCGCCTCGTTGTGAGAAACAACGACGGTAAAGAGAGTAACTGTTTCATTACATACTAAGTATCAAATTAACAAATAATAAATATCAAATTAAAAAAAAATAAATAATCTTCAAGATTAAATAAATGGCAAGCAAATTCAGGAATAAGAGAGAGCAATTAGTCTTCGCTAGCGCTGGAAATTGAGTCGTTGGCGTCCGAGACGTCGTCACCGAGGCCGCCCGCCGTGGAGACATTGGGGCCGCTCGCCATGGGATTGTCCGGGAAGCCAGCGTCTAAAACCTCGGTTTCCACCGGGAGGCGGATGAGCTTCACGAAGGGGCGATCCAATGTCGTTGTAGCGGTCTTGAGAGTCGCAACACGAGGGAGGCCATCTCGGCCAACATGTAGCTGAAGTACTCGAGCCATGGGCCACTTGGTAGCAGGAAGATTGATGTCTGTGATGAGCACGAGGTCACCTTCCTTCAGAATTGAATTGCGGGTGAGCCACTTGGAGCGCAGCTGGTGCTGATGTATCACTTCCCGCTGCCAGCGGGACCAGAAGTGATTCCGCATCACTGTAGTCAACTCGTAGCGCGCGACACCTGCAATTTGACGAGAAATATCACAAGGCTCGGGGAGAGCTGTGAGAGCCTTGCCGATGAGGAAATATCCAGGAGTGAGCGCTGTCGAATCCTCGGGATTGTTGCTGAGAGGGCAGATGGGACGAGAGTTTAATAAGGCCTCTATCTGCGTGGTGAGGGTGGAAAACTCCTCGAACGTCAGTGTGGCGTCGCCGAGGACTCGCTTCAAATGATGTTTGAAGGATTTGACTCCAGCTTCCCAGAGGCCGCCGAAGTAAGGAGCGCGTGGAGGGATGAATTCCCAACTGACACAGTCTGCTGCGAGGGCATCCTTGACCTCCTTTGAAAATGAGGAAGCTTCATCGAAGAGGCGACAAAGCTCTGCACTGGCTCCCTGAAAAGTCGTTGCATTGTCGGAGTAGACAGTGTGTGGAATTCCCCGTCGTCCGGTGAAGCGAGAGAAGGCGTCGAGAAAGGGCCTCGTTGTCATGTCCGAAACAACCTCCAGATGAATTGCTCGGGTGGCGAAGCACACGAAAACGCAGACGTAGCCTTTGGTCGACTTTTGTCCTCGTCCCTTGCTTGTGCGCACCGGAAACGGGCCGGCATAGTCAAGGCCGCAGGTAGAAAATGAAGAAGACTGTTCTCCTCGAGAGGCTGGAAGCGGAGCCATTTGTTGCTCTTCCACTCGGCCTTGGAATCGGATGCAGCGTACGCAGCGACGAACAAACTGCCGCACGGTGTTGCGCACTTGCGGGATCCAAAAGCGTCGACGGATGTAGCTGAGGACAAGTTGAGGTCCTCCGTGCATGGTGCGAAAATGGGCGTCGCGTATGATGAGAGTGGTGAGACGACTCTTCAAAGGGATGATTGGTGGATGAGCTTCGTCGTATGACAATCCAAAATTGTCCAGACGGCCGCCAAGGCGCAGAACTCCGTGCTCATCGATAAATGGCCAGCAAGAACGAACTGACGACTTTCGTGGAAAAGGCTGGTGCTCTCGTAAGCATTTGAGCTCGATGGCGTAAAACTCACCCTGAATTGCTCGAATGATAAAGCGAGTAGCGCCTCTCACTTCGTCGGCAGTCAAACCTCTACCAGGCTGATGATCCTTGTCAGGTAGCGCTTTGCGTTTTCTAATCGCAGGCCACCGTAGAACGTAGGCGTAGGCGTAGATGAGGACTTTGAGGCTGGAGAACCTGGTGATGTAGCTCTCGAAAGTCGTGTCTTGCTTGGCCGCATGAAGGACCACAGACTTCGGAGACTTTCGCTCGAGATCCGACGACGCCGACTCTGGTGTGGGATGCCATGAAGACCAGTCCTTGCAAAGCCAGGATGGTCCATTCCACCAGAGCGTGTGGGCTTGCAGCTGCTCCGGAGAAAGGCCTCGTGAGGCGCAGTCTGCTGGATTGTCCTCGGAGACGACGTGATGCCATGAGACATCAGGCAGCAGCGTTTGGATGTCACCAACTCGCGTGGCTACGAACGTTTTCCAATGGGAGGCGCGCTCGCGCAGCCAAGCGAGAGTGACAGTTGAGTCGCACCAGCAGAAAGTCCTGGCTGGTGGATGTAGAAGCTGCGGCGTGAGCGCAGCGATGAGACGAGCTAGCAGTTGAGCCCCGCATAACTCCAGCCGTGGGATGCTGACAGTTTTGATGGGCGATACCTTGCTCTTGGCGATGATGATGGATGACGACCACTGTTGATTTTCATCCTGGGTTACGAAGTACAGGACGGCTGCGTAGGCTTGCTCAGAGGCATCTGAAAACCCGTGAAGAAACCAGAGAGGTTTCGAGTTGCAGCCGAAGTACCTTGGAATTCGAATTGCTTCGATGTCTCGGAGTTGCTGGTGGAACGCTGTCCATTCGTCCAACAAATCGTCGATAAGAGTTTGATCCCAGTCGTATCCTTGAAGCCACAGCAGCTGGATCAAAATTTTCGCTCGGATGAGAATGAGTGCCAGCCAACCAACAGGGTCAAAGAGACGAGCGACGGTAGAGAGGAGACCGCGCTTCGTCGGTGGAGCCTCGGCTGCCAGTGATTGTACCCTAAAACAAAACTGGTCGAGCGAGGGTATCCATCGTAGGCCCAGCGTGGAGACAACATCATCAGCGGAAAGATCCAGCTCCTGCGTGTGGACGTCGTTGAGCGAGGTGAGGAGACGATGATCGTTGGCCGACCACTTATCCAGTTCCATTCCGGCAGATTTGAGGATGCCGATGAGCTGTGATCGGGATTTCAAAGCCTCCTCGATGGTGTTTGCACCGGCAAATGCGTCGTCCACATAGGTATGGTTCTCGAGGATGGACGCACCCAGCGGAAACTTTTCTCTCTCGTCCTCGGCTAACTGTCGCAGTGCTCGATTGGCTTGGTAGGGAGCACAAGCCGTGCCGTACGTCACAGTGGTGAGACGGTAATGTTGAATGGCCTCTTCTATGGTGTCGCGCCAAACGATGCGGAGACAATCGGTGTCCTCTGGATGGATCCGGAATTGGCGAAACATCTTCACGATGTCGGCGGAGAAAACGTAGCGATAATTACGCCAGTGTGTCATTATCACCGGAGTCTCCGTCTGTGTTTTGGGTCCAGCGTGTACCGTGTCGTTGAAGGAAACATCGTTCTCGGCTGGCTGTGAAGCGTTGAAGACGACCCGAATTTTCCCACTGCCGTCGGCCTTGAAGACAGCATGGTGTGGAATGTAGTACACGCGTAAAGAGTTGACGTCGTAAGTCGGCACGCGCTCCAGGTGCCCCAGCTCCTCGTACTCCCGCATGAAGTTAACGTAGGCCTGGCGCTCCGCGGGCTTGCGGTGGTAGCGCCTCTCGCTGCTCAGTAGCCGGGATCTAGCGATATTGAGGCTACCTGGAAATTCGGGTTCTTTTGAGAAAGGTATTCTGAGGACGTACCTGCCTGTCTCATCTCTGCTGTGAGTGCGCACAAAGTGTTCCTCGCACTCCTGTTCCTCAGCAGAGAGGGGTACCTTCATTGGAACCTCCTCGAGTTCCCAAAAGCGACGAATCTCGTCACGCAGTTGGCAGCAGCTCGTGGATGTGTGAAAACATCGCACGATGTGGTATGCCGATGAGGCAGCTGATGACGATGTGGCCGCTGTGGGTCCCGTCAGTACCCAGCCAAGAGCGGTATTTTGAGCAACCGGCTCGTCCTCAGCAGCTTTCTTCAGACCCTCCAGGATGAGCAGGTTGTACACGTCACCTCCTAAAAGGCAGTCAGCACCTCCAGGCACGTAGTACTTAGGATCCGCTAACTCCAACCCTGCGATGTGACTCCAGTCACCATACTGGATGGGCTCTGCTGGGAGCGATGTGGTGATCTGTGGTACCACCAGGGCAGTCAAGTGCAGCTTGAAGTCCTTTGAGCCATTGGACTTCACCATGAGGTTCACCTCTCCAACTGATTTGGCTCCAGTCTCTCCTCCAACGCCAGTGATTTTAGTGCAAGAGCGTCGCTTGGACAGACGCAGGGCTTGCACCACTCGTTCGGACACGAGAGACACCTCGGAGGCTGGATCCAGAAGGGCACGCACCAGCAACGTCTCACCAGCTGCTGTCTCCAAAATTATACGGGCTGTGGCCATAAGTATCACTCGCTTACCTCTGCTCTGTGTGTGATACGTTGAGGGTGAAGATAGGGATGGTCCAGTTGGCTCATTCGAAGAGGCAGCAGCTGGGCCCATACTGTTACCATGGAGGAAGGAGTGATGAAGCTGGTTGCAGTTCGTGACCCTGCAGCGTATAGGTGATGGGCAGGTTGATGAGTTGTGTCCCAAGCGTAGACAGTTGACACATACTCCCAGCTTCTCCACCAATCTCCATCTTCCAGCACAGTTGGTGTTCACAAAGTTGTGACAGTAACCGAGGGAGTGATTTCCCTTGCACGACAAGCATGGCTCTTTCACTTTGGCCACTTTCTTGTTGTCGGCACTTGGAGGTGGCTGCTGGACTTGAGTAGTATGACTGCTGTGTGTCTTGGCTGAATTCATTTTCGTTGCACCATTACTCTTCTCCAGAGGCTTGGATTTAGCAATGGATGTGACTGGTTCAGTATCCATGGTTGATGCAGTCATCAGCGTACGGCACCTACACTCCAAGAATTTTTTCAGATCCTGGTAGGGAGGAAATCCATCATTCCTCTCAATGGATTTTTCCCAGTCAGTCTTCGTGACCTTGTCGAGTCTCCTCTCAACAAGCTGGACAAACCAGTCGTCCCACTGGTCGACTGGTCGCTCAAGCAACTCAAAGGATCGCTTGGCCTCTTCCACAGTATCCAGAAGTCTACCTATTTCAGCGGCGGAAGCCTTTGAGACAGGTGGCATGGTGAAGAGACGTCCCATCTGATCTGCCAGCTTGACACGTATATTGTCGTAAGTGCTGAGCAGAATATTCCAGGCCACAGTCCAGTTGGCATTGGTAATCTGGATACCCTTGAGCCTCTGAGCAGCCTTGCCTTCTACACAAGACAGTAGTCGATCCAGTTTCTCAGAGTCCTCCACATGAGTCTTCTTGATCACCATGGCGTCGAATCTCTCCTTGAACGCTTCCCAATCTCTCTGCTCCCCACTGAACAATGGGAGTTTCAAGGCTGGAAATGCTGATGGCGTGGAGAACATTTGGATGTTTGGAGCGGTGCTTGTACCTGGAGCGGATTGGATTGGAGTTGCCATGGGAGCCATGCGAGTGGTTAGCTCTATCTTGGCAATTGAGTACTCCGACTCATAAGTGTGGTAGAGATCATCCTTGAAGTTAGGATACGTGCTGGCCAGAGCCTTGTTTTCCCTGCGTACCAACGACCTTCTGTCCTTGATCGCCTGCCAGTAGCTCTCGAGCAGCTGCAGTCTAGTGGTGAGGAACTGGAGAGTCTGGTCCTTCTTGGCCTTACTCTTGTCAGTGTTGGTCACAAAGTTGATGATGTTTTTGCCATCATCAAGCTGGTCTTCCAAAGAATCTGATGGTTCACCCATGGTGACTCTTCACAGTAACACAGCACAAGATTACAATTTTTCACTGTAATCACTCCACTTTACCACACACACACACACACACACACTATTTATTGCTACCACCAACTAGCAATGAATAGTTACTGGTCTCACAGCACGAGCTCCAGCACTGCGTGACAGCTGTCACAACAAGTTGTCGTTTGAAAGCAGACGAAAATTTTAAAATGTCACGTGACAGTTTGGTTTCAAAAGACATCAAAAGGTCACGTGGAAAGCGCGGCTCGGAGAGAGGCCAAGCTCGAACTCCAGAAAATCCGCAGGGGGTCTCTGTGAGAGCGCGGACCTCGAAGAGAAGGAGCGCGCAAGTGCGTGTGCACCTGAGGGCAAAAGTGATCGAGAGGGAGAGGGAGAGGGGTGTCGCAGCAGTGCGTGCGAGGTCACTCACCTTCCGCCCCTTTCACTTTCGTTTTGGCGTGATGATGTTCCGGCACTGTGATTCGCCGAGAAAACCGACGCCACCGTTAACGGTCGTTTTTGCGTTCTTGAAAAACTCGCCGTTTTTCCTCCAACTTTCACACTTTCCGTGAAAAGCCCCAAAAAACCGCAATTTACAAAACACGGGATCGTCTCCTCGGCGTGTCTTGTAAATTAAGGGCAAAAAAAAAGGGAAAAAAAACGTTTTTTTTTTTGCACTTTCACCTCGCGAACTCTTTTTCACTCAACATATCACCAGGCACTTTATTTCACCGGAGATCGAAGATCCGGCTCGAAGGACCATGTATTTTTCGCGAGCAATCTCGATCAATTACTACCTTCTTGATCCAAGTAAAACTACGCGGATCTTTTGCGAAGCGAGAGTGTCGGTGAATTTTGAGCGGTTGAGTTGTCTTGGAGTAGGAAAAATAACCGATTGGATTATTCCACTTCAAACTTAACAATTTATTTGTACTACTATTTACAAAGGTTGACTAGTTAAAGGCAATTGAATTTAATAATAAAAGAGTTGAAAATAACGGTTATAAAAATGGAGCGATGAGGCACAGCACGCACTCACCGAACTCCAAATTCAAAAGTGAGGGTCAAACGAAGCGACGTTCGACTGCGCGGAAATGGGAGGAGCAAAACACGGTCCTCGCACTCCCGCGAGAGTGCGCGTGATAATTAGCGCGCGAATTCAAATGTGTAAATAAAATATAGACTCTTGCCTGGCGGCATCGGTCTCAACATGCGGGGAAAACCAGATACCGGCGCGGAATAAAATTCAAGCTTCTTTTCAGGAATTCTTGAGATTTTTATTTTACCTTTTTAAAATTAATTAATACAATGAAATATAATTATGATTAATATTAGATACGACATATATATATACTTATTTGTGTTACTTTTTTTTCACTTTGTACGTCAATTTTTCGAAATTTCAAGATTTTTCACATTTTTTGTCAATATGTCGAAATTTCATGATTTTTTTCACTTTTTCACGTTTTTAGTCAATTTCACGAAATTTCAAGATTTTTTAGTTTTTTCGTGAATTTGACGAACTTTAATGATTTTTCACTTTTTTTGTTAATTTATCGAAATTTTAGAATTATTCAATATTTTCTTGAATTTATCAAAATTTAATGATCTTTCGCATTTTTCGTAATTTTATCGAAACTTAAGGATTTTTCAGTTTTTACGAAATTTTTCCGATCAACCACCCAACCCCCGGAGCTCTGCCAGGGCTCGATATCTTTGGATCTCCAAACGCTATCCAATAGTTAACGCTTCACATTTTTAAAAATTATTTAAAAAAATTTGTTTAATATATTTTTCTAGAAAAGTGACTTTTCACCCGTGAATTTTACCTTTTTGGTTTTCCAAGAGTACCCTCGTATAGCAGGTTAATATTTAGGGGGGTTACGTTGCACGGATTCATTTTTTTTTTTTCGATTAATGACTCCTTTCTTGCGAATTAGAATCCATTAAGACAATAATCCAACCCAACCCAACTAGGACAACGAACGCAGTAACCCAACTAAGTCAAATCTTTTGGTGTACCATAAATTGCAGATGCTTAGGTAGATGACGTATTTGAAATTAAACTCGCAAGCAAATTCGACTGGTAATTATATAAAAGAAATCAGTTATTATTTGTTCTCAGTAGTATAGCAATGTATGTTCCAGCACACCTGCGGAGGGTCTGAAATCCTTTGACCCCACCGGGCTTAACCCTTTGGCCCCCTGGCTTAACCCTTTCATGTTAATAATAATTATTATTGTTAATAATAATAATTATTGTTAACAATTATTATTAACAATATTCGTGGGGAGGTCCCTTGGTTTTACCCTTTGATTTCCTGGCCTCTATCCCTTCCATGTTAATTATTATTATTAATGTTAATAATTGTTTATAATTTTTGAGGAAGGTTTCTAGGGCTCCTAGTCCCTAGGGCTCCTAGTCCGTAGGGACCCTATACCTAGTGCTTTCAGTCTAATTAAATTTAAATGTTTTTTTTTTAAAGTTATAAATATATATATTATTAACAATTTACTTGCTACATTGAGAATAAAACGAATAGAAAATAGCGACGATTTTTTGAAAAAAATGAAGAGACAGACCGGAGAATCGAACCGGAGTCCTCTGGGTTGGCAGGCTAGCGTTCTACCATTAGAGCCAATGCCACATGTACCTTAGAGGATGCATATTGTGTATATTAGCTACACACGCATACATTTGGTATAGGGCCTGAGCGTGCGGAGGAGGAGGGGAGCGCATGCTGTCTATCGTTCTGGCCTGATGGGGATGCGCTACTATAGTAGTAGTAAACGTGCGCTCTCTCTCTCTCTCTCTCTCTCTCTCTCTCTCTCTCTCTCTCTCTCTCTCTCTCCTACGCTCTAGCTAAGCGTGGACCATGGTGCGCGGAGGGGAGCGTATGCTGTCTATAGTCAATACGTGCTCTCTCCACGAAGGGAACTGTTTTCGTGAGAATGCTAGAGACTACGAATGCAGTTGCTCGACTTACACCTCCTTGAGATGTTTCTCCTAAACATCTCTGCTAGGAGAGAACCTTATTCCCATCCATTCATCCTTTCTTACAATCGTTATGATTATTTTACTATTTAAATAAGCACACATTTATTATTTATTTAATATTTATTATTTTTAATTATACATTGAATAGAGTACACTTTATCTATAATCTTTATGTTCAGTGTCTGACATTTTTAAATATTCAGTTGAATTTTTATATGAATTATATTCATCTGTAAATCTTTCGACTGTGTCGATCCCTTTTGATTTTACTTGTTTTTGTCTTTCTATCATCCAATTGTGTATCTTTTGTGTATTTACTGCAGCACATACTATATTCTCGCGATTTTGACTATGATATATGCATGATGGTTTAAATTTAAGACTTAAATTTTTCAATTGCAGACATCTCATTTCAGTTTCGATATCTAAAATATTTCTGTAATTAAAAAAAAAACTAATTAAATTCGAATTTAGAATTTTGTACTATTGTATATTATTTGAACCTACTTTTCAGGAATAATTTTTTTGAGCCATTGCTTCTTTTGTAATCCTTTCACATAAATATTTCTACAATTATGTAAATAATTGCGTATAATACAATTTAAAAAATTATATGGTAAAATACCATTTCTCCATAATATACCTATAAAATTGATTATATTGAATATTTCAAATAAAATCAATGTTAATTAACGATAATAAAAATAAATACCATGATGATGTAATTCCAACCACTTATTAACACTTTGATATTCAATAGACAGTTTGAGCCAATGATATGGAGTGTAACGGGAGGATAAATCTGCAAAAATGAGAAATTTATTTAAGAACAAACTCCCACGATGCAGAGCAAACCGCCGCCACGTTAACACGTATGTTGATACGTGTATTCGCCTTAACGTCAGCTGACTTAACTTAGTTGTCTTCGATCAAGCAGAGTTGAACTCACCTTAAGTCACGTGCCTTGTGATACTCGATGAGTTTTAAGTGTAATCGACTTTGCTCCTAATCCACTTAATCCCCTAGCTATAATCGGATTAAAACCTAAGCCTTTTTCAATTGTTTAAACTATTGGGAAAAATTATATGACGAAATCGGCGAATAAGTTTAATAGATTTTATTAATAAAAAAATCTCTACAGTCTTTGTCGGGCCGAAAGACTGACGCACGCGAATAGGATTTACAATTAAATAACTTTCGGTGAGAAAGAGAGAGAGAGAGAAGATACGAATATTGGCGCGATCTAACGCTCGGCGCGAATACAAAAAATTAATGCTAACACGGTTGGACAAAATACCAAATGTATTTTGTCACGCGATAATTAAGGGAGGTGCACCTACCCTGCGGTGCAATTACGGTGATCAGCCGTAATTGTTGAAGCAAATTAAAGGTGCTCCTCCGATCCAAATCAGCTGTGCTGCCTCGATTGCAAATCTGCTGTATAATAGCTGTCACTTTTGCTGCTGCTTCCGTGATGCTGCTACTGTTGCTGCTTCCTCGCTCACCCTTGCACACGTATCCAAAATCCCAGTAAACTTTTTTATTGGCAAATCGTTGTAACACTATGCTAAACTATTTTGACGGTACTACACAAGTAACAGCTGAGACGTAACTGCTAATTCAAAAGATCGCGCGTCCCCTCTCTCTCTCAATACTTAGAACTAACGCGCGAAAATCAGAATCGCGAACGGTTCGATTAATTGAATCGACTACCGTTGCAGGAGGTTTAAAAAGTAGTACTGTAGGTGAAGTATTAGAATTTACTGTTAAATAGGCAAACTCCTTACAAATAAAAGTATTATTAAGACTCTGAAAGCCTTAAATATCTAAAATATAGTCAATCTTAGAGTATAAATCCCATTATTCTCTATGATATGTGAGCTGAATCGTATCTCAAAGCAATAATGACTATATTTTTATTCTGAAGATCTATATATAAATCCTTTAATACTAAATTAATAAGTTAGATGGTGCTACAGTCGGTTCACCCCCACTCTTTCGTTTGAGC